CCAGCAAGTGTACATGGTCCCATGGCTGCTGGTGGGGACATGCACCATCCCCCCACGCTGAGGGCAGTGGGCAGGCTGAGGTTGCCTTTTGAAAAGAAATTCCTTTGCTGCAGCACAAACGAAAAGCACAAAGCAGCAGGCCAGGACACATCGTGCTGCTCTGCTTAATCCCAGAAGGGATTCTGGCTGGGTCAGACTGTCCCACTCTGAAGTGTTGTTCCAAAAGCACAGAAAACATTGTTTGGGGATGACGGCAGCGGTGGCACTCTCTTGGGAAAACTCAGGAACAATAAACCAACCATATGCTTGTACAAGTAGCAGCAAATATCAGCACAGCAGGCAGTGGCCCCTCTCCTGAGCCTCCTGAAGTGTCCTCTGGCCTTGCAAGAGGTCACAGTGCTCAAGCCATCCCTGCCAGTTTCCACGTGGCAGGAACAGCACAGTGGTAACTGAAAGTTTAGTTCCACAGCAATGCCATCACACCTTTTTTTTTTTCTCTAAGTGAAAACCCCACCCCATTTATTCTCTGCACCCCACGTTACGGCTGCCTCATTGGTATCTGGTCCTCTTCTCCCAGGAATGAGTAGGAAGTGCCCAGTGGATGGCATCTGAGCAGCTCAGTAGGCAGCCAGCACAAAGCCTTGGGAGCTTGTCTGTCTGATGAAATCATCTCACATTGTGAAAATCCTTGCAGCTGAAATGGAAAAGTTATTTATTTCTCCTCTAAAGGGGAAAAACAGCTCACTGTGGAGGCTGCTTGTCCTTTGGGGTGGGAATCTCACTTTTGCCAGCTTTCATGTCTCTGTGTACTGGCTGAAGGCAGCAAGATGCTCTGACAGTCAAGATGGATGGAGCAGTGCTGATGCCCACCTGCCCGCAGCCTCCCTTTGCTGGGGCAGGTACACCCAGGAGCAGAGGCTGGGCACCTGCAATAGCTGTTCGTCTCCATGGGATGTGTTTTCCCGGCATTCACATCAGTGCTGCTAAAAGCAGCTCTTTCTCCACTGCAGCCAGTTAGTGCTGCAGAGGCTGCTTCTCCATTCTAATGCCTTGAGACACCAAACTGCCTTCAGGGAAGCCACAGCTGAGGTGTCCTGAACCCTCCCTGATGGCCCTGTGGACAGCAGCCTTCATTTCCCAAAGGGACAGTGGAGCTCATACATATTCCCCAGGTGCCTTGAAGGGATGTCATGGCCTCCGTCGCCCTTCTGCCACCCAGGTGTCAGCATGTCCTCTGCAAGGGCTCTGGTGGGCTCTGCAGCTCACCAAGGAGCTTTTGCATGGGGACACTCACCCCACTCACTCCAGCTGGGACATGAAACCAGTTTAAAATCACTCTGGGAATGTCTTTACCACTATTCTCATTCTGTACTGCCCTTTCTTTTGCTGAGGGCAGACTATCCACACACTCCCCATGTGGCCTAATCCTCCTCCCACTGCAGCCTGCAAAAGGTGCAGTATTGACTAGGGCCAATGCTTGATGCTTTGCACCATCCCACCTGACAGGACATTTGAAAGGTTTCCGTGGATGTTAAACCAGCTGCTGCTAGAAGAAAGTAATCTCAGAGCAGGCGAGAGCTGAAGAAACTGCCCGTGGACCAGTCTTTCTTCTCACCAGCAGAACTGCTCTCCTGATCCTCAGAGACTCATTTGGAAACCTGGCTTGGCACAGATGTCACTCAGGCCAAGCTGATACTACACAAGCCGATTTTCCAAGTTCTGGAAAATACTGCAAAAAACCCTTTTGGGTGGTGTGCACAGATGTCTTACCCCACCTGGATGTTATCTTCTTGCTCAGGCCCTGTGCTAAGCAGGACTCGCTTTGTGATGGGTGGGGCTGAGGTCTGACTTCAGGGCTGGGGCTCCTACATGCCACAATAGTAAAAGATAACATGCAATAGCAGCAATGCATCTGCTTAGAAATGTGGATGTTGTTGCATCACCATCAGGCTTCAAACCTCAAAGCTGCTCATCCCGAGTCCAGAAACACCAGCAGGCTGATAGGGCCTGGTTTCCACTAGAGGGTTGTAGTGCTGTACAGAAGGAGATGCAGTCCTCTGGCAGGAATACTGTACATACTCCAGGCCTTTGTCAGCAGATCAAAAGCATCCTGCGATAGCCTGGCTTCCAGCAGTCTCTGCAAGTCTCTGATGTACACGGCCTGCAAGCTGCAAGAGGGTTGATGCCTGAGCAACCTGCTTCCCTGCTTTCCCTGAAAAGCCTCTCACATTTCCATGACTCAGCACCTACGATATATTTAAGTATCTATGCACACACAGATGTAGTATGCAAACACTCTGTGTGTATGTATATCCACACACAGACAACGTGTTTGTGCACCTGGGATTTCAGTGCCCCCACAGCCCCATGGCATGGTGGTGCCATCCCAGCAGCTTGCAGGCCAGCCTTGAGCAGGAGCTGTCCAAGGGGACTGCCACCTCTGCCACCAGTCCTGACCTCACACCTGGTGCAGCTCAGGAGGTCCTAGAGAGTTCGTGTGACCCCCGGATGCACCCATACATCTTTTACAGCAACGTATGCATTTTTTTTTCACGTGGATCTCTAGAATCAGAAGAGTTCGGGTTGGAAGGGACCTTTAAAGGTCATCTAGTCCAACCTCTTTGGAATGAGCCTGCGTTTGTGGCTAAGCTAGCTAAGTAGCTGCCGTGCAAACTGAACTGCCCAGGTCAGGGTGGTTTTACTGCCAAAAGCCAACACCGGAGTTGTCTGACACAGTGGGGAAAGCCCAAATAGTGCCTTCCTTTTGCAGAAGGAGTGGGAAGCCAAATGTAAACACAAGGCTTGCCCATCACGTGGGAAACACAGTGCAACATTCACAGAGAATTTACATAGTTACCAATTTACTTACCACCTATTTGTCTGACACTCTCACCATTTCCATTTATGGATAGATGGAAAATAGATTTTGCCTACATTTTCATCTCTTTTGTTATCAGAAAGGCTTTGAGGAAGTTAGAGATACTCTTACAAAGCAAATTGCTACAGTGAAAGATGGGTCTGAGAGTGCTGGGATAGGTTATCTGACCCAAAACAGGCATTTGAACTCTCTGCTCTTCATAGCTGGCTGCTGGAGTGCTTCTTCTCATGCTAGCAGGAGACATCAGTAGGGGGTCAAGTGAGCTGCTTCTTGCTATAAAGGAGAAAAATGCACCAGGGGAGACTTGACAAACTGGGGAGACCTGTTGTGGACACATAGGGTTGGGAGAGCTACCTCCCACAAGTGATGGTCTCCATAAACAAGTCACAGACCTCAGGGAGACCAGACTGTCTCGAGAGCAGGGACTGTGGTGCTGGTGAAACATCTGCTCTGAAGTGGGTAACAGTGGTGGCAGTGTGAGCATTTGCTGACACCAGCAATGCAAAAGAGCTCTTTTACACCAGGCCACAGGAGTTACCCCTGTCCTCCTGAGGTGCTGCCATCCCTTGGTGGGCTGACACCACAGGGCAGAGGGTGATGGGTCACTGCCAGGGACAGGCGGCTGCTGCTGAGCTACAGAGGGTGGCAGAGAAGCATGATATGAAGCTGGGTTTGGAGTGTGTCGTGGTCATTTGAGAAGGCAGGGTGGGAGGGAATGTAGGTGCTGCGCCCGGGAGTAAGGCTTCTTTGCAGCTATAGGTTAGGAGATTAGATTGTATTTTTTAAATTATTTTTTCTAGCCAGTGAGAGGATTTATTAGCTAATCATAATGCAGTAAATACATGAATTCCTAATCTTTCACATCTAAAATTCCTGTAGAAGATACAAAAAAAAAAAGGGTATGTGTTATTTGGGCAGCAAATGGGCAGGTGAAGAGGAGAAACTGCTGCCTGCAAGTGCCTCTGCCCCTTTGCGCAGCAACAAAACCCACCAGCCTTGGTGTGGTACAAAGGCAGGCAGCTCTCTGTGCCTCCCTTTGACAGCAGCTCTGCAGACCCTCTTCTCACGTAGGGAGGAGTGTCTGTCCCTCCCAAAGGAGTCATAAAACACAGCTTTATCCATCCTGCATGCGGTAATCAGGCAGGCTTAAGAGCTTAAGCACTCTAAGGGTTGCAACATTTGAAAGATTGTGCCGGCCTGTTTGCCTGTCTCTCTCCCCTGCTCAAACTGCTCCTCGGTATGGACTTGTAGGGGCATTTTGTTAGTGACAGGGGCAGAAAATGGAACCTGCTAATAGAGAGGGAGCTGCTAAACACACATCCTTGAGAGACAGTGCCCAGGGTCATTAGCAGAGCACACAAAGAGCCCAGAGCAGCTCCCCTTGCCCTGCTTACCAGTCGGGACCAGCAACAGGCAAAGGAGAGGGGAGCAAACAGATGTCATCCTTTCAGACTGCTTTATTAAACAAAGCCAAGCAAAACAAAACCAACCCCACTATCAATGCACCAGTTCCTCAATAACACAAGACCCCTTTCCACTGCCCTGGGAGACCAAAAAGGCTGAAGTGCAAATGAGATCAGCGTCGGGAGCATTAAGTACATGAACGTTTCTCAAGGAATACCAGTCAAGGGCTAATTTCTGCTCTCCTGCAGCACCGGGAGCTCGATCAACAACAAGTGGGAGGGAAAACGTAGGTGAAGTTGCTGGTTCACGCCCTTGCCTGTGAAGGGGAGTCGGGATCCTGGTGAAAAGCTGAGCCTGTGTGTGAGGATAACGGTGGGAGCAATCTCGGGAACCGCTGAGAGGCTCCTGGGTTTTGGGACAAGGGCTAAGTACAGCTCAGTTATGATGTGAGCTCAATGAGCTTGCAAGCTGCCGGTCAGGGAAAAAAACTTGGAAGAATTAAGTGGAACTTGTTGCCATTCTTTGGGCGTGCCAAGGGCTCCCAATAAATCTTTCTCCTGAGGCAAAAAGCAAGGTTAAATCACACTACAAAGCCCATCAAGCATGAGATTTACAGCAATCTAAAAGGGTTATGGGTTCATTTCTTAAACACTTGAGTTATGGCTGTTTCTGGGTACCAATATGTTAAGCACGCTGACCCCTGCCGTGCTGCAGGGAGCTACGGGATGAGCAGCAACGGAGAGATCGCACTGGTTATCATTTTCATGTACTTTTCAAAGTCACTTCCGAAAAAGGAGACAAGATAGTAGTTGAGTATTCCAGCCACGGACATGAGGAACAGGAACAAAATGATGCGTTTTCCAAACAAGTAACCGGGAGTGCTGAGGAGACAGAAAGGGGGGGAAGCAATTTGTTAACACGTATCACCTCACACAAGAAGTCCTCAGGCCTCGGGGGAGGTCTGGGGGTGCAGGGAAGCTTCTGCTCTGTCTTGCAGTGCCAGGCAGCTGCAAGCTCTTAAGTGTAATGTCTCCTCCCTGGAAGTGTTCAAGACCAGGTTGGATGGAGCTTTGAGCGACCTGGTCTAGTGGGACCTGTCCCTGCCCATGCAGGGTGTTGTAACTGGATGATCTTTGAGGTCGTTTCCAACCCAAATCAGCCTAAGATTCTATGATTTTCAGGATCCATTTGGTTTGGATTTAGCCTCCTGTGCTCAGCATAGGCTGCTGCTTACAGAAGTGGCTATTCAGAGGGACTTGTATGACTTCTCAGCCTTGTTCCACGTGTGTGTAATGAGCTTTATTAATGCAAAAGGACGCTCTTGTGCGAATAGTGGCACAAACACGCCAACGTGTCTGCAGAGGCTGCAAGCAGGAGCTGCTGGAGCAGCCTCTCTGTTCCTGCAGCTCCCCCGACCCCGGTGCTGCTGCACCTCCCAGGTCTCCCACAGCTCCTCCCGTGCAGGCAGAAGAGGGTGCTTTCCTGCACTACCCTGTGCAAGCAGCCGTCGCTGGCAGCACCAGGAGCCGGTGCTTCTGGAACCGGCTTGTAAAGAGGCTTTGCAAGTTCTTACCTCTGAGTCCTTTCTCCCAAGTAGCCCACGAAGTACTTCTGCCTCACAAACAAGTACATCAGGCCGGCAAAGGCGGCAGGAGCTGAGTAAAGGGTAAAACAGGGCATTACAAATACCAGCCGGATCTCACTGTCCCCTTCTGCTTCCAGGGCTGGACCAAAAAATGGGAACCTGAAGCCTTGGGCTGATGAGCTCTGGAAGCAGGACGGAGACTTTGCGTGAGAAAACAGCATTTCACTTGCCCTCACACCAGGGCTTTCTGGGCGTAGCCCTGCCCACAGCTGCAGGAACAGGGTGCGGGTCATGCTGGGCTCAGGAAGGAGGGTGCTGGCTGAGGCATGACTTTCACCAGAAGTAAAAAACAGCTGATAGATGCACTTCTCTTGGAGAAAGTCGAGGACTTGGTCCAATACTCATTTCTGATACATAAAAAGGGGTTTTCTTCCTAACTCTTTCTTTTCCCACTCCTGCAGGCAAAAGCCCTTCTTCTGGTCGAGATGCTCCTCCCTTGCAGAAAGAATTGCCACAGGCCCAGGGAAAGTATTCAACTTTAGGACAGCTCAAATTGCATTGAAGGGAATCTTACTTAGAAATGCAGATAAATATTCTTGAGCTGTCCTCAGCACTAGGAAGGGCTGGCAGCTCTGGAAAATGAATCAAATAAGCCCCTTTTCAGTCCCAAGAGTGAATAATGCAGCATCCCAGAAACTAAGTACTAAACCCTCCACCCAAAACAGGGATCTCATCCATAATGCCTTTATGGGAAATGTCTCTGGCCTGGACTGTCCTGAATGGTATCTGGGAACATGTCTGTTGGTACAAACTGTGCTAGGGAGTGTGCTGCTAATTAAACAGCACAGGCAGCTGCAGGACAGCTGGGTGAGACTGGTTGCCCCCGTGCAGGAGAATTTGGTCCCTGGAAATGTAACCTCCAAAGCACTCATCAGCCTTGCTGAAAGTGGTGCAAGACTGAAGAAGGAAAAAAACCTGTGTGTTACTGTGCTGGTTTTGCCTGGGGTAGAGTTAATTTCCCGACATTTTTCTATTAAGGGGTTATGTTTTGGATTGGTGCTGGAAATAGTGTTGATAACCCAGGGATGTTTTAGCTATCACTGAGCAGTGCTTCCACAGAGTTGAGGCCTTTTCTGCTGCTCATGCTGCCCCACTAGTGAGAGGGCTGGGGGTAAACATGAAGTTGGGAGAGCACACAGCTGGGACAGCTGACCACAAAGAGAGATTCCATATCCTATTGCTCAGCAATAAAACTAGGGAGGAGGTTGGCAGGGGGGCTGCTGCTCACAGAAGTACTGGGCATCAGTTCCTGGGTGGTGAGCAATTGCATCACTTGTCTTTCTTGGGATTTATTTCTCTGTCTTTGTTATTTTCCTTTTTATTATTATTCATTATTGTCATTGCTATTCTTATTTTCTTCTATTTAAATTATTAAATTTTTCTAATCTCAACCCATGAGCTTTCTTACTTTTACTCTTCCAGTTCTCATCCTCCCATCCTGCTGGAGGCTGTGCATGAGCAAGCAGCTGTGTGGTCCTTAGTTGCCAGTTGGGGTTAAACCAAAACAGTCCTTTTTGGCAACCAGAGGCTTCAAGAGCTTGGGATAACATCAGCAAGGGGGGGAGGGAAAAGATTTATATCTTACTAATCACTACTGCTTTTGCAGTTTGTTGTGCTCTATAGTGATCAGTGATATATTGCCTGAGATATTTTTTTATTGAAACACTGATCTTGAGTTCAATCTGGTATTTGGGCTCTGTACTGCAGGTGTCACCTCATGGAGACAGTTCCATTTTTTGTGGAAGAAATACAGAATAGCACTTTCACTATCTTCTCTCTCACCACAATAACTTCTCAGTATCTTGAGCATCCTTGGGTAGTTAAAATACTTCTATTGTTATTTCTTATGGTCGTGAGTGGCAGAGCATGTGGGAGAGTATGAGAAGGTATCTAGAGAACTTCTCACCTCCAGTGGCCTGGAACCTCACTCCCAAACAATTAGAGGGTCCTGATTAAATGACAGAATGTTTGAAAGACAAAATGCTGTGGCTATTCCAAAGAGGCACAACTCACCACACTGAGCATCTACCAACCACAGCTCGATACTGTTCAGCCCCCTCAGGCAGAAGATACCACTAGACACAATGGCTAAACCAGATACTATAGTGGTTGCCCTTATAACTAAAAAGAAACAATGGAAGCAGAAGTCAGCTCGTTTAGTAAGTGATGAAGAAGCTTCTCCTAAGAGGAAGCAGGAGAAAGAATCAGAAGCAGCAGCCTGTTCTGTAGCAGAGCAGTCACAAGAACAGGAGGAGGAAGAGACTGAAATCAGAAATGAGACAGAAATCACCTAATACCAATCTGTAGGTGAGCTGTGAGATATGCAAAAAAGATTTTCATCAGCCAGGTGAGCTAATTTACAGCTGGGTCCTCTGATGCTGGGATATTGGGGCCAGTAGTCAGGAATTAAAGGGTAAGGAAGCCCAGCAGCTAGGATCCCTTGCTAAGGATAAGGCTATTGACAAAGGGACTGGAAAAAAAGGCAGGAGTCCTCAGTCTTCTGAACTTCAAGAAGGGAGAACCTGCAAATTCCCGGAGCAAATGGACCAACACCGAGGAAGGTATCCAGGAAATTAGGCATGTTGATAGTGATCTGTAACAACCTGGATGATGCCCAGGCACCCAAAGACCTGGATAAAATCTGGTGCATGTGGTTCTCGTGTTGAAAGCTTGTACAGCATGCACTGACATCATACACCCATAGCCTGGAGGTAACCGAGCTGGATAGACACGGAGGCACCAACTATGGATTGACTGGCCAGACAGCTGCAAGAATGCAAAAATAATCCTGCTTCCTCCATGTGGGCTTGTGTCTCAGCTGCGGATAGACTGACACAAGAAGATGTCTGAGCAAGCCAAGAAGGGTAGGTCTTCCTCACGCACTCCAACCAAGGCCTCAGCTATTAAGAGTGAGGGCATCAGTGGTGCACACCATGTGCAACCCTGTGGGTCTTCCTATGTGATCAGTGGGAGGACATGAGGAAATAGGATGGTGAACATACATGGAGATTAGAAGCTGGGGTACAGGAACTGCAAGGAAAATCAATAGCCAAATCATCCAGGCAAATTACTGCTCCAGTGTCTGTTGGGCAGAGTAGAAGGGCTGATCATACTTTTGTCCCTAATGAAATGACTTCTTTTTTGCAATTATAAAAATCAAGTAAGGAAGACTCCAGCCAGGAATAGAGGGCCCCTACTTTTGGCTGGGCAGAGGAAGAGGACAGCCAGGTTTAGTGGACTGTGTGGATTCAGTGGCCTGACACACCAACCCACAGGAGTATAAAGCTCTGGTGGACACGAGTGCACAGGGCACTCCAATACCCTCAGATTGCAAAGGGGCCAAATCCATCTGTATTTCTGGAGTGATCCCAAGAACTGCCTGTGTTGGAGGCTGAGGCAAGCCTAACTAGGGATGAGTGGCAAAATCACCCTGTTGTGACTCATCTGGAGGCTCTTTGTATCCTTGGCATAGACTACCTCATAAGAGGATACTTCAGAGACCCAAGAGAGTACCAGTGGGATTTTGGTATAGCTGCCTTGAGTAGGGAGAAGATTAAACAGCTGTCTAGCTTGCCTGGTCTCTCAGATGATCTGTCTGTGGTGGGGTTTCTGTGGGTTATAGAACAGCATGTGCCAGTTGCTACCATGATAGTGCATCAGCGACAACATTGCACCAATCCAGGCTCCCTGGTTCCCACCCATATGTTGATCCAGCAACTGGAGAGTCAAGAAGTGATCAGTAAGACTCTTTTACTCTTTATTAATCCCATATGGTCAGTGCAAAAATCTAACAGAGAGAGAGGACTATCAAGGGAGAGTTCCCTCTGTGTCATCACAATTAAAGAGACACACACAAATCTATGGGACCAGATGGGTTACATCCCAGGGTGCTGAAAGCGTTGGCAGACATGATCACCAGGCCACTTTCCATTATTTACCCAAAGTCCTGGCTAACTGGGGAGGTCCCAGTGGACCAGTGGGTAGAAAATATAACACCCATCTATAAGAAAGGCAGAAAGGAGAATCCAGGAAACTGTAGACCTGTCAGTCTGACCTCAGTACCAGGGAAGGTCATGGAGCAGATCATCTTGAGTGTTACTAGAAGCCATATAATGGATAACCAGGGGATCAGGCCCAGTCAGCATGGGTTTATGAAAGGCAGGTCCTGCCTGATGAGCCTGATCTCCTTTTATAACCTGATGACCTGACTACTGGACAAGGGAAAGGCTGTGGATATTGTTTATCTGGACCTCCAAAAAGCATTTGACACGGTTCCCCATAGAACTCTCATAAAGAAACTGGCTGCTCATGGCCTGGATGAGCACATGATCTGTTGGATCAACCACTGGCTGGACAGTCAGGCCCAAAGAGTGGTTGGTGGTCAATGGAGTCAAATGAAGCTGGGGCCAGTCACAAGTGGTTTCCTCAGGGCTCAGTGTTGGGACTGTTTCTGTTTAACATCTTTATTGATGATCTCAATAAGGACACAGAGTGTATCATCAGTAAGTTTGCAGATGACACCAAGCTAGGCAGGAGTGTTGATCTGCATGAGGATAGAGAGGCTCTGCAGAGAGACTTGGATAGAT